AAAAAAAAAAAAAAAAAAAAAAAAAAAAGAAAGAAAGAAATATGACGATCAAAATGAGACAAAAATAACATTTTTTCAGTCCTGTTCCCTATGAAGTATAGTGAAAATGTCCCCGTCTACTGTTGTATATTTACCAAGCAAAGAGAGGAATTTTTAATTGCTGCTTCTGCTACGTCGAACATGCAGCATGGTTCTTTGTTTGTTTAAATGGAAGACTGTTTTCTCAGGATGTAGACCTTCATGATCTTGAAGACAGTTTCTGGTTCTTGTGAGCAAAATTCACAGCAGTTGAGTTCCGTTTTTAGATGGCTTCTTATACACGTGCATTTTAATAGATATTACCCAGTATGTCCAACCTTAGAGTTATATTGTTATAAAAATATAGATCTAAATTGCAATTACATTTGTCCTTTTTCAGGCGAAACAATTTATTCTTGCTGTGAAAAAAGGAGCCAAAATCGTATTCGGCGCCATGGAGGGTGCATCGCATCCAGAACCTCCTGAACTTCCTGAGACCCCCGAATATTCTGAACCTCCTGAACTTCCTGAGACCCCCGAATATTCTGAACCTCCTGAACTTCCTGAGACCCCCAAACATTCTGAATCCCCTGAACTTCCTGAGACCCCCAAACATTCTGAACCTCCTGAGACCCCCAAACATTCTAAACCTCCTGAAAATTCTAAATCCCCTTACTTGTGCTGGGAGGGGTTTCACAAACACACACCTGAAGTCGATTCTAAAGGCGCTGATTTTTTGTTCATGTGATGCCGTTATAAACGTAGATTTGGCGGTGTCTTGAAGTATATGTGACGTCACCTTGATGTGAATTATATGACGTCACGGTGTAACATGTGGAGTCATCTCCGACCTGGAAAACTGAAGGTACTTTCACATGTCAAGGCTTGCGACCTGTATAGCAACCGTTTTTGAAGTTCAGACAAATTAAGGGTTATATATACAGGAGTCTGCGTCAGGATTCTACGAATAGGAATGTGTAATAAGGGAACCAGAGAAATCTGATGGGGAAAATACGCATTTGTTATGGAACTTTTCAAGTTGAGTTTTAACTTTCAACGGTCGTTTTGGGAAAGGACCTCAATATTGTTACACTCCGTTTTCTGACCAGCTCTACATTGTGATAGCCTTAATACTTGGAGATTACTTCCCTCTACTAGTGCCACAGATTGATTTTTTACTAGAAACATGTATCAGTTGTTATGGTCTGTCCAGCAAGGCTTTTTCATGGAAGTAATTCATCGTCATTCAGCAGGCCTTTTCTATGAAAAAGGAGATATTAGACTGAGACGATTGCATGAACGCCGAGGAAATATTAGACTGTGAAAGCACAAACAAATTCAGGCATGTGAGCGCGCGTTTGTGCGAGCGAGTGCGCGCGCGAGATATGATGACACTATCTCTATAAACATTGGAAGTGTAACGGAAAAGTAGACAAATTTTATACATAATCTTTTAAACATTTGACTTTATACTCTGAAAATTTTTGTATGATATATACATCAAACGCCCACATACATTGTATTTGTTCATTTGTTTAACTGTTCATTCTGTGATTATGCAGTTCATTAATGACCTTGTTCACTTGTTTATTCTTGTCATTATTAGTGAACAATTGATGTGAACTTCACTTGTGTTCATGAAACAGAAATTTCTCAAACTGATTCTGGTGTTTGTCCGAAAATAACTAACTAGGTGAGGTCATATATATATATATATATATATATATATATATATATATATATATATATATATATAAGAAGTGTGTACAGACCTACTCCGTCATAAGAATACTAAGGGAATACTACTCTTTGTCAATATTGACAACCGGGATTTTTGTGTAGAGGGTACAATACTGCTGTTGATTCAATGGCTCAAGATATCCTGCACAAAGAATGGCCTATGCCTTATGGAGAGGATGCACAATACAAATACTTCCCCCAAAACAGCCTCTTTTCACAATCACATCCCAAACAATACATTTCAGCTGTTATTTAAAGGTATGCTGTACTCGCTTGAAAAATAAATATTTTTAAACTCAATTATTTAATTAAAAATGGTATTGGATGGAATCCAGGTACAGGTCAATCAATGATTTATCGTTTCTTTAATCTATCTATATATGCACTCTTTGTCGTGCAGTGATTTAAACAGAAAATTCGTCAAATTAAATGACCATCCTAAAGTGTATTTTTACATCTCTCTCTATCTCTAAATTCATTAAAAAAAAAACAGAGCTTGGTTTCCTTTTAAAAAGGATAAATAAATATAAAAGAAAAAAGGTCGATTCTGTAAAATAAGCCTCCTGCTGCATAAAGATCAGGCTTTTTTCACTAATGTATAGGAATGAAAGTTTATTTTAGCAATTGCGTCATATTTGATGTAGTAAATAGCCCTGAGATTCAAGAAATTACGCAAATAGCACATCGGATGCATTAGTTTCGATGATTGATACACCAGATAAGTGATTATTTACACTGTAAAACATTGCATTTTTAAAACAGTTACGCTCACGATTTTGAAATGTGAAATTTTGGTTAAAAAAAAAGGTGTAGGAATATTTTAAGTAACAAAAAATAAAACGCTGATTACAGCATAATTTTTTCAATAATTTATTTTACTGAATATTTGATATCTATTGTCATTCCAAAGGTCAAAATATTTCTCGTGTTGGTTTCAAGACAATTATTTATATCTCATAAAAGCGACATAAGTTTGGACTTAAACAAATTATTCGTTCAGGGTGTAAGGGACTTTTATCTTATATCAATTTTCATTTAACGAACTCCTGTCTTTGCCACAAACCACAAAATATATATATATTTCTATATATAGAAAGATATCGTGGACGTGTATTGACCGATATGAAGCTTGGGACACACCTTATCACGTGAACTAAAAAACTTCGCACGGAGTTAATGCAATGACACACCCTACAACATACCGGGTATATATATATATATATATATATATATATATATATATATATATATATATATATATATAAACCGTACCCATTGCCGCGTCGGCAACACTAATGTTTATGACAATTTTAAATACTTTTTTTGCATGGAGCTAATTTTATCACTCAGCTGGCCTCTACAGTATAGAGTAAGGGGTGCAAAAACCGTGTACTATCTCGTTTCGCGTTTACTGTACTGATATTTTTAGGGGGGGGGGGAGAGCAAGGATGGGGCGTAACACGCTCTGCCAATACCCCCCGGTCCGTTATTGTAGCGGTCAACTAAATAAGCCACCACCTGGATGGGTAATATTTTGGTGCGATAGTATACTGGGTACTTGTGTATGCTTCCAATATCCTGTAGATACACAGTCGAACGTCTGTTTTCTTATGATGATTTGTTTAGTCTCTTTTAATATTTAACCTTGAATGGAGTTTTTATTTATAACAAAAGTTTGATTTTCCCCTCTGTGTGTCATAAGTTAATTTGCATTGTTCTATTGTCCCATGTATGTCTCCAGACAAACCTTGATTTTGTCGGTCTTCTTGTATCACCCTGACTTTCAGAGAACAATGGACACTCAACCTGTTTCCTATCACCATGCCTCTGTCGAGAGTGTCTGGAGAGAGAAATTCCCATTGGCACCTGAAACTTAGGGTGTTTTGTCCCTATATTTGCAAGCAGGGATTTCTTTCTCTAAATCTATTTTGTTGATACATGTAGCACTGCTGGGGCTGCAAAACTTGAAGAAATGATCTGGAAACGCGCCTGTATTCCTTTTTTTAGTGAAAATGATTAATGTGAAATTTTAAGGCTAAATGGAGTAGGGGGAAAAGCGATCAGTTTACATTTTTTATGCCAATTATTCGCCCCTATCCTCTCTCTCCCTCTCATTTTGCCCTGCAATATCTGAAGCGTAGCACAACATATTAGTTTTACTACACACTGTGATATCATTATTAGCCTATTTATAATTATTCACGATACTCCTTTTTTTCACAAATCCAGTTTTTTAGCCCTGACAACTAAGTTCAAAAGCGCATTCAGAAAAGATGATCCGCGGATTTACTGATCCGTGGATTAAATATGGCCGAAAAAGGAAATATCGACATCAGGTACACCGCACTATTATAAGATTTTTTTATTTTTTAAATGTCTGAATTGGCAAAGGTAAGTAGAACATGGGACAAAAGTATATGTAAAACCTGTTCCGAAATGGAATTCACCTCCTCCCGTTACTCCAATAGACCGAAAAGGTGGTGTGAGAGTAAGCAAGTCAACATGCCCCCCATTTCCATCTGAAAAAACATACATTGCCCACATCATCTCTGCCCATTTGACGTCATAATAACATCCTTTTTCATCCAATCACCTGCTTCCACCGTTTCAAGGTTCACTCGAGCATAACGACCTGCTCCATTCATTCACTAATTCATCCACCCGTGTGGCCTGTCGAACGAGCGCTAGGTCGCCATCGGTTGTTACAATCTTTCTTCGTTCCACGCAGGTCTGGCAGCTACTCGTGTAGACATGCTGGTGTTGGGTTGGTTAGCATTGTTTCTTTATGGGATTGAGTGCACAAAACAAGGTAGGTTAGTTCCGTAGGTAGGGTGATTCTGGGAGTTCGGGAAAAAACTACACCCTGTAGGCCCTAAGCCTGGAAAAGGTTCGCTCTAAATTGAAATTTGATCTAAGTTCTCTGGACACGCGTGGGTTTCATGGTGAAAAGGGTCCACCTTTTCAGACAGATAAGTCTGGCAGCTACTCGTGTAGACATGCTGGTGTTGGGTTGGTTAGCATTGTTTCTTTATGGGATTGAGTGCACAAAACAAGGTAGGTTAGTTCCGTAGGTAGGGTGATTCTGGGAGTTTGGGGAAAAAAAAAACTACACCCTGTAGGCCCTAAGCCTGGAAAAGGTTCGCTCTAAATTGAAATTTGATCTAAGTTCTCTGGACACGCGTGGGTTTCATGGTGAAAAGGGTCCACCTTTTCAGACAGATAAACTCCTTTAAAATTGCTGACCACAGACTTGAAGATTTTATTTCCCGAAAGAAGGTAGATTTCTCGTGGCCGGTTGGTTGTTGCACACGTGCCAAAGCTCAACAGACGTCTTTCGCGGACTTTACTCTTCATTAGATGAAGGAATGAAAAGTCTCGAGGCTGGTTGTGGAGAGAGAAACGTCGTGGTTAAAAAAAACAGCTGATATAGTTAATCGACTACAGTAAAAGCAGCATTTTATTCAATCCCTTTTTGAAAGAAAATCGCAAAGAATATGTAAATGGTAACAGTGGTGCATATGTTGTTTTTAAAAGTGTAGTTTTGTTTATAAATGAACCGGTAGGCAATTTTTGTTTCTACTCTGCTCGAGACTCGACCTCTCTAGTATTTACTGCTGTTATCACTGCTTTAGAAGATCTGAAAGATAAAATAAAAATAATAATGACGCGTTAACACAGCTTAGGGGTGGAAGTCTTTTTGTCCGCCTCTATCAGTTTCACAGCACTGAAATGCCATGTAAACATTTCGTTGTGATTGAGGTAATTAGGTGAACTCTCCCATACTTATGCAATTATCTTGCTATCTACTTTAAAATGTGTAAAATGTGCCTAGTCTTTGCTTCTTATCTGGTCTGGCACAAACTCTGAAACAATGTTCTGAATGTTCAGCAAAGATACGATGTGGCCGTCACTTAGCACTGAGTACCAGTGGGAGTGAATGCTGTAAACCAGGACCCACGATCTCCAGGGCAACTATAGCTGCATTCCAGTTCTTTCACCCCATTTCCATAGATTTTTAGATCGATCTATCCCTGTTGGGAGTCTCACTAGATTACTGTCAGCTTGGCCGGCTTAAGCGTCTGTCCCACCTACTAAAAGCTGTAAGGGGGTAATTAACTATGGTGCCCGCTCGGCTGACTGCAATTTAGCGTGCACCCCCAGGAAGTTAGGTCGATCTAAATCTTAATCTCTAGATCGATCTAAATCTCTGGGAAAGCACCATTTGTCTTAATTAGTCTTCTTCCCATTGGAAAATTTCATATTTATTGACCATGCATATATCCTTGCACAGCATTGCCTGACCACATGCAAGCATACATGTTTTCTGTTAACACACACACACACACACACACACGCGCATGCGCATGCCAAAAGTGTTCAAGGTTTGTTATTTAGTACTGTGTATTACATGCCTTAGTCATATGTTCAATTTTGTTTTTTTTTCCTTACACTCAGTACATGTATCACATTTCTGCATGTGTGTTGTTTATATATTGTTATTGCATTCACCTTGAACTGTTAAGTCTCCTTGACATGGTAATAGACAGTGATGCTGACTCTGTCTGTGCCAAAAACTTGTCCTTGCTACTGACCCTTCAAGCCACCATGCAGGGTCTACGGGTCTGTGAGGCTTAAGGCAGAAACGGTGACTTCAATGTTGCTGGTGTTTGGCATAGGTTCAGTGCTTATAGTAAACTCCTCAGATTGCCTAGTCTGACATATAAAGCAAAAAGAAAATTACTAAAATATGATTTACTAAATTTCTTGTGAAATAATCTGGTTTTACCCACTGAAGGCATAAAATTATGTCTACCTGCATGTTACAAATCTGCTGTCCACTGTGTCTTTCAGCAATATTATTTCAAATTAACACAATATTTATTCACTTCTTTTTTATTTTTCAGAGCCCCAGTCTCACTTGGGTATACGATGTGGACTGCATGAGCACGGTTGCCGTGACAACTTGCGGTGTATTCCCAAGGGTTGGCTATGTGATGGAGAGGCAGATTGCTTTGACGGTTCAGATGAGGCTGCTAACATCTGTGATCATGGTGAGAGACATTTCATCTTAGTTATGTTTGTGGCAAATATTAAATCAATATGTCCATCATGTTCAAAGCAGTAGGTTGATATTGTGAAATGAGTGTCTTCAGACACAAGCTGTCTAGACCAAGTCTCTTAATAATGTGGAATTGATTTCTTATTTCAGTCTTTATTATACTACAGTGTTCTTTCAAAATTAAAATGGAAAATCAGTTTTTTTGTGGCTGTCCTTAAACCTTAGGGCTTAAGGCTATAGCTACTGACTGATCCATTTCCTCCTACTTTTTTTCTGACAACTGGTTTGATCATATTTTGATGTTAAGATTAAAACACATGTACACTACAGTAGTTAAAAACATATAGTGGGTGAAAATGTTTGGTAATTGAGCATATTAATATGGCTCTATATTTTTTTGTAGAATCTTCTTATGAATGTATTGGAATGGCATCCTTAATACTCTTGTGCATAAATTTAGCTGAAGAATGCAGAAATTGTGTCTGATTAATTCATGAACCTTTTCAGCAATCCTGAACTGCAGTTCTCATGAGTTTCTTTGCCAGTCCAGAGAGAAGTGCATCGCAGCTTCCTGGCACTGCGACAACACGCCAGATTGTGCAGACCACTCGGATGAGCAGCATTGTGGTGAGTGTATTAGATGTGACAGTAGAACAGATAGTACTGACCAAGGAGGTGGTCAGCATTGTGGTGAGTGTGTTAGATATGACAGTAGAACAGATAGTACTGACCAAGGAGGTGGTCAGCATTGTGGTGAGTGTGCTAGGTGTGGCAGGTTGAGTGTGTTAGATGTGAAAGTAGAACAGAATGTTCAGACCACAAATATGAATGGCATTCTGGTGAATATGTTATGTGTGAGAGGTTAAGTCTGTTAGATGTGACAATGAAACAAAGTGCAGACCATTCCAACGGACAGCATTTAGGTGGGTGTGTTAAGTTTGACAGTACATCAAATTGCACTGATCTTATTGTGGTGAGACTCGTATAAAAAAGGTAGCAAGACCAAATAGATCATTATGATGAACTGGCTATAGTAAATTAATTTGGTGATTGGAAGTGTATGAGGTATAATGACCCACTATACTGATCACAAAAGTCAGAGAGATAAACTTAATGTTTTATAACATGCTAAAATAAACTAACATATAAAAGATCAGTTGTCACATGAGACCACCATACATACCAGACAGACTTTTTAAATTGAGGTCACATGAACATTTTATTGGCATGAAGAGTCATTTTGAAAGTTTATGTTTAATATTCAGTAATGTTCTATTTATATTATTTACAGTTTTTGGGTTTGTCAGATGTGTAAAAACAACATTAATATCATAATGTGCACTGGTTAAAAAACTTACTTATTTCACAATTATAGATTATATGCTTCAAGTTTTTAAATTTTTTTCCCAGGTTTGTCCCCTGCAGAGTGCAATGCTAGCCATGGCAAATATTTGTGTGGGAATTCCCAGTGTATTGATCTGCAGTTAGTGTGTGACAGGGTGGCCCAGTGTGGGGATTCCTCCGACGAGGGCCAGCGATGTGGTGAGTGGTTTCCCAGTGAATATATAGGGACTTTTTCTCATGTGGTGATCTTAGATTCACTTAATGTTCATAATTATCATATTATGTGGTTGTTGCAATGAGTGTATTATCCTGAAATCAGGTTGATTGTGTATTAACATTATTTTCGTTAACCAAAGGAAATAATCCATTATATATTTTAAATTATCAGTTTGTATGTAATTTGGCTTTATTTGCCTTTCATCAAAAAGGACTAAAGCAAACATTTACTTTGATCATCTATTAAACTGTATAGATTTGACTTAAGAAAAAAATAATTAGCTTTTTTCCATGCAGGTTGAATTTAAATGGAAAAGACATGCAAAAGAAATCTTTTTACTGTTTTGTGTATCATTATTCTATAAACTATATATGTGTAGTGGTATAGGTCAGTTGTAAGAGTTTTCCTATTGGATTTGTGTGAACATGACCCAAATGGTATACAATTCATACAATAGAAATGTGTGTATCACTTTATAATGACATACACTGTACATGTAGGTCAAGGATGTCAGAAGATGTAGTCACAACAGCATGAGCCTACCAACTGGAATTGTATGTACCAGCCTGTCCCAAATGTTGTACAGTGCATTTAGAAATGTATCACTTACTAATCATAAATAACATACATTCAGGTCAAGGATGCATAAACAAACAATGTAGTCACAATTGCCAGAGTCTACCAACTGGATTTGTGTGTACCTGTCCCAAGGGTTATGTCATACAGGAGGATGGCAGAACATGTGGAGATATTGATGAATGTAGGACACTTCCAGTATCTCCATGTAGTCAGCTCTGCTATAATACACCTGGAACTTACCACTGTGCTTGTGTAAAAGGGTATGTACCTCATGCTGTTAGACACTGTCGAAGTGATATGTTGGATTAATTGATATATATTTGTTCTTCTTTATAGTATGATGATGACTCAGTCTTTTCAATGGAGGAAAATGTCAATATTCCCTATACATAATTTTAGAGGTACTAGTTTTCCCTATCATTTTTGGTTCTTTTTCTGTATAGAATAGAATTGTTAGCCTGTTTATGCGTGTTGTTGCTTCTGCTCATTAGGAATGTTTTAATTTTAAGAATTTATGACATAAAAAAATTACAACTAATTCAGTAAAACTCACCATCTTTTCAAATTCCCCATTAAAAACGTGGAATCCTTATGCAACTGTAGTTTGAACAGGAAACAGTGAAATCTCTGACTTAATAAATCACTTATATTTTACATCTATTATTTTTTATCTGTAATATGTCAACATTTTCAGGTTAACTGTTGTGTTTTGAAGACCCTGCATGATTACAATGTTTTGTAGTGACTAGAAGGGAACTGAAACAGAACACTGAAACAATTTATGATTTTAAAAATTTCACTGTTATCACCAAATTATTTTGATGGAAGTTTTTTTTTTTTTGCTTTGTCATTTATCTACTCCAGAGAACCGTTTTAAAAGAAATATTAATCAATGCTTTTGCTTTCATTTTATCAATTAATTAAAGAAGATGAAGATAAATGAGATTCAAGTCGTAAATTTCACAAATGAAAATTTTTTGTTCCAGATACCAATCGTATGGACAGGAGTGCAGGGCTGTGGATCCTGATGCCTCGTTATTGTATGTGTCTCAGGGAAGTCTTCACACTGTGACATTGGACGCTAACAGCAGCCATGGTGTTGTAGCAAGGCAGTCCAGGCTGCATCATATCAGAAATATAGGTGAGCATGTAAAGTGATTTTGAAGAGGGGGAACCATGATCATTTATTAGATGTNCTTTTCTTTAAAAATCCTTTGCTACCATAAAAATGACTAGTATCATCACTGTATGACCATGGATAACCAAGACGGTAATAGTTTTGCACTTGAATCTTACCCTCATTCTTATCAAAAGTTCATTACATTAGATCTACATGACATCATAAATGTTAAAATCAATGGTTTATTAATGCGTGTGCTTACCCTGCTGTACACCATTACTATATCTTGTTTTACTTTCTTTTTTTTTGTATCACTAGTTATCTTTTTCCACCTAATCACCAGACTTGTAAATCATGCCTTTGTGTTCATTATTTTCAGTGTAAAATGAGTGGTAACAGCATGTACAAGATATGTTTAGCACATGTAAAGCTATAAAGGTAGAAGCATTTGTATGTTTAGCATTGTCAGGTAGATTACACTTGTTTATGCTAAAGTAAAATCTACCTTATCTCTATTACAAATTTGCTTCTGTAGAAATGCTTCTCAGTGGATTGTTTGTTGACCTTTTCTATAAAAAAACTGGGTTATATATATAGGAGAAAGGGGGAGGGGGGGGTCAACAGCTGGAGCACAAAGCAGGAAATCAATCTCCTTGCCTTACCCAAGTATTACCTGTGTCAGCTCAACCTGTTGTCTTCGTAATAACATTGCAGCCCGTTTTAATGAAGTGGTTTCATGCAACATCCCTCTTCCTTCCCAGCCAGGTGGTAAGATCTTAATACACATTGATCAGGATTTGAGCTCTGCCAGAGAAAGTTGAGAAGCGAAGGCCTAATCCTTGAGATGATGTCTGCATAACTGAGGTACCAGGCAAGCAGATATGCTGTACTGTGTGTAAGCATAGGCACGTACAGTACACATGCGTGTTGGGGTGTTTTGAATTACAGAATCAAGGAGGTCACACACAGTATCTGTTGTCTGTTGATTATCCGTCTTAACACACTGGTCATATTTATCAGGCGTGATTCTGGAACAGTTGCAACACAGAAGATGTTTTTAATCTGATGAAAATTAGCTTAATATTAGCAATGGGAATGTTTTTCTAAACGGGAGTTTATAGCAGTGCACTAGGTTATGTGCCAAGCAGAATGATTACTGTGGATTTCATAGGCAGTGCTACTAGTGCTAGTACTGGCCAAATCGTGTGTGGATGTCGACCATACTAGGTGAATTTACAGGATTAGCCAACTCTGCTAGTGGTTACCATGGTGATTCTCGTACTTAATCACGGAAGAATCATTCCTTGAGCTTCAGAGTTTCTCATAGATAGAGACAGAGCTGTAGGACATGTGGAGTTGGAATCTTATGTCATTCCATTATTCTGGCTATTAATTTAAGCAAACTAAGTGGAAAACTCAAAATATCAGGATCTCTCACTTCTATTTACAAGTATTGGCTCTGATGATGATGAAAAAAGGCTTACAAAACAATAAATGCTCTCACTTGACTGTGGAATCAAGTAGGAATGGAAAAGATGGAGGCACGTGTAACATGCATCGTGTGATGAGCACAAGTGCTCTCCGTATACCCAAACAAAGGTCTTCATTTTGGGAAAGGTAGGTGTACAGTATATGAAGAACTAAAGTTGATTAAATATGAAAAACATGTTCCACAAAAAAAATTGATCATGCTCAACACCGGTATTTGATATCATTGCATTGGCTTTTATTAGCTTGGGTGACCGACTGTAGAGAAAAATGTTTGCCTGACTATTGAATGTCTTTATACTGTATGTTTTGTGTTGATTCTTTTCAACAATGGCTTTTAAGACCCATACATATATAGAGGCAGAAAATAATCATTAAAAACAACTTGTCACACCTGATTTTATTCACTGTCAAATGTGTGTGTTGCATTTAAATGATATTATTTGTCCACAATCTTACTCTGCAGAAGATCAATTTGGAACATGCTCTTAAATGACTTAAATGTTCAAATAAAGTATGTCCACCCTTATGTATTGAATATTCTGCATTGCTGCACTATTGTAGTTTATTTATCTCTAGCTAAATGCAGCTCAATATGACATATTTTATACCAGTTATGGATACAAAGTTCATGGTCTTGCCATTTGCCAAAGCAGTAGTTGTGACCAAATGTTCCAATTTTTATCCAAATCTAATCACAACCCCCAAAATATATGATATGCCTCTGAAGCAGATCTTAAAATATCTGACACTGTGGAGGCAAACTGGGCCTGCTGGTCTGAACTATGTACTAAAGGGACCAGAAGACATATTGCAGCTATGGAGTATTCTCGCTAAAGGTTATCTGAAAGAACCTCTTTCATCCATCATACAGATCTTGGTTGGTGGTTTGCTCCTCATAACAGTTCAAGGAGTTCTAACAGTGATACAGCACCATCTCCTATGTTGGCTTATCTGTTCTTGCTAATGACTGTAAAAAATATAGATTTATGTAAGTCTTGACGTGGCCATGTCCCCAATTGGCATCGATCTTTATTAGGCACAGTTCACTGCAGTTGATAATAAAGGAAGATATTTAATCCTTTTCTTAAGTTTCTATAGGAATGATGTTTTGCTTGTGGCAAGATTATGTCTTGTCCACAAATCATGTAATTTGCAAACATTTATATTAGTTCACAGCTCAATAATTCTTGAATATACATGTTGGCATATCTCTCAGTTGTCAGTTTCATTTTTATTTTTAAAAAAATGGAGAAATTATGTTTCTTTGCTATTGATAGATCCAAAGTTCAGAACTAAGATCTTATAAATTTATTACTTTATGAGACAAGGGGAAAACTATATGCTCCCAAAGATTTGTACACGTAAGCATTGAATTATTGTTATAAAACATTCTACATAATACATTTGATATGACTGGCTGAAGAATAGATTGAAGAACTTGGAAGGGTTAGTCAACTGTCTTTACAACTTATTGGGTTAGTCAACTGTAGCTTCTCAGTGTCACAGAACTTTTTTAAATTGTTTTTTGTGGCAAATATATGGAAATAACCAATATCATTCATAATATGTATCTTTGGAGCCTAACCTTTGATTAATAATTTGATTATTTATTCATCTTTGTATGCAAAACAACAAAGACTGATATTAAACAGGCAGGACAAATGGGACTCAGATATATTAATTTTCTTATCTTCAGTGTTACATCTATGGAAAGCAATGCTGCTTAGATTGTAGACCCATATTGTGCAGCAGAGGAAAATAACTCAAGCAAAACATAGTATGGAATTTTGATAAGAAAATTGGAAATAGGCAGAAGCAAAAGAAAATATTGAAATCAATTTTGCCCAAGTCTATTTGATTACAGATTTAGCATTCAGCCATGCACAATCTATACCATCCAATAAAATTATCTTTTTGCTTTGTCTTTGGTCGTGTTGTATTAGTTTACATATACTGGATAGCTCGTTTGCAATGAGGTGATTGAATTCTGTTGTGATACATGCAGTTCTGTAATGTGCATATTCTTAATTAAAAGACAATTGGAGTCCACTTTTTGTTTGAGTGCTATATGAAGTGCACCTTTAACTTGAAAAAAAGAGGGGCATGACTATTGCTTAAGCAGCATACAGTCAAAACATCATTCACACAAGTAAAGCCGAGAGCACTTAATGAATTTCACTTGCCCTTTTAGACTAACTTTCCAGTGTGTTCCCTTCTTCTTTCACTGGAAATATTGACTTTTTCATCAATCTGCTAAAGCAGAAAACTAGTGCAATCCATGTAAACATCTTGCACATTCCTGCAAATTTTTTCAGCAACGTGAAAGTTGTATTGAAAATGTAGAACAAACACCAAGCTGAGATGCACTCAAGGAAAATGAAAGAGATGTTATTTCAAGGAAGATTCAAAAAATTAATTTTTTGGTTTACAAATGTTTATTTAAACTGAGCATAAGTGCTTAGATGTTGTAATGAACATGTCAAATAGCAGTAGCTTTAATTGTTTAAACATGGGCAGAATGACAAGTTCTAGATGTTTTATTGCACCCGTACTCCAGCAGTAAACACCTGCAAATGTGTACCATCAGTGTATTACCTGTAGTGCATAAAAATGAAATATTCACCCTAATATAGAGAATAACATAGGTACAAAATCTATGTGTGCCCATTGGCAGTGCAAATATTGGACCATTTGCTGGGCTCGTTTTGGTTCATCTGATGAGTAAACTTTAAAGCTGTTAATGGAACAAATGCAATAAAAAGGAATTAAGAATACAGGTGTCCTGGTTTTGAAGTCTGTTGGGTTCTTTTATCAAAGTTCATTTGAGCAGAGCCACCCTCTGAATGATGATGTTACCCTGGAGAGGTCACCAACTTGGTTTAGTTTTACTAGAGTTTGAGTGATTCTGGCCGTGTGTGTGTTGGAAAATTTATAGTAATGAGACCCTTGATATTTTTTATTGAAGGACATGTAACTTAAAAGGAAAAGGTATTCGAATTATTGCTTCTTCTTTCCCCATATCAGTTTAGTATTTAGAGCATACAATACACATAAGACCTTTCTATAAGAAAAAATTCCCCATTTCAACACTTTCCTCTTAATCACCAATTTAGATAAACCATGTTTGAACCATTATAAAATTGAATTTTTTAAACCAGTTTTTGAATTTCAAGATTATGTATTTTTGAATCTGTGTCTTTGCCAAAGTGTTATTTTTTTTTTCAATATTTTATTCTAAATTGTAACACCTAGGATAAAGAACAAATAGGTGAGTGCAGCTTGCATGTAGGCAGGCAGTGTTATCTGGGGTTAGTAATCATCTTGGAAATTGAATGAATTAAACAAGCTCTACCCTACACCAGGATGCCGTGCTCTTCCGCTACTGCTGAGCTTGAGAAGCTGTCACTTGATTGTCAGAAACTAAGCTGCTGCAGATCAAATATTCATTGACACACCTTTGTCATGATAGTTCTTTTATGCTGGTTTCTGGTTTTCCATCATAAAATAGAGATTAATTGTCAGTTCACACCTCTGACAAAAAATGGAGAATGTAGCTTTGGATATCGTGGTATTTTACTTCTTTTGTGTAGGTGGACTGAAGAAAGTAAAAGTGAAATTTTTGATAAAAAGTGAAATATAAATATTGACATTTAGTTAAAGATATATGTTAAATGCCTTTGCTACACTTTTCCAGATTTATTTACCAATAGTAGAAAATTATTTTAAAATGGCATGTGTTTTGGAAAGACTTTAGGTATAAAAGGTGTTTTCCCTTATTTTGTACAAAGTCAGTAGTAAGGGATATCTCATTTTGCCCCCCCCCTCCCCCACATTGTTACTTGCCCACATCATTATCCTCCATAGCAAAATTGTGATTTACCCACATAGATATGCCCTTGCACTGTTGCTCCCACTTATCAGTTTCTGAATTCAGTTTAAATTATTTGTTACTTTTAGG